ACACATTCATTCGGCGAAGATCACTTGTCAGATAACATATTTCTTATCAATCTTCCTCTTCTTGTTTTGTTCTCAGAGACCAGTACATTTGTTTACAAACAAACTTCAAGCAAATAAACAAAACAAAGTCATAAGCTCTCTTACTCTCTCTATTTTACTATTAAAAAATGTTTGCGTTAGTCATGACATTGCACTCATGACGTTTGTATATATATTCTTTTGTTCTGCATCGGAGAGAAAGCCGCTCTTTTTTTACCAAAACACAACAAGCGCTCACAAAAAAAAAAAGAAAAACCCAGTAAGGAAAGTAGTAAAGTCGAACGGGGCCGACTTTATGATACCCTTCACCACTTTGGGTATATTCTACATATGTATCCGAAAAGACGTTGCCTTTTTGAAGGTATTTTGACATGAAATTGAACGAACTTAAATATGTGATTTTTATATCTTTCTGGAACCTATGCTAAATTTCATTTGTGCAAGTTTAGAGTCGTAGCAAACTTGCTAGAGATTAATTTATACTAATTTCAATACGTTTTAGGTCCAGAATGATGCTAGGCCGATTGACAGAACCTAGCTGTGTATCTTTAGTGCACAATTTACTTAAAATCGGACGAAAATATATATAGGAGGTGTACACATCATTCCAGATTTAATTCAATACGCTATGCCAAAATTCGTGCAAATCAAATGATTTTCAGGGACTTTGGTGCACCATTTACCTAAAATCGGTCGAAACTATATATGGGAGTTATATCTAAATCTGAACCGATTTTCAGGAAACTTAGCACACATCATTCTAGACCTAATTCAGTAGGCTATACCAAATTGCATGCAAATCGAAAGATATATAGGGACTTTGGTACACCATTTGCCTTAAATCAGGCGAAACTATGGGAGCTATATATAAATCTGAACCGATTTTCACGAAATTTATCACACATCGATCTAGACTTAATTAAGTACGCTATTTCGTGCAAATCGATGGATATATAGGGACTTTGGTGACCCATTTACCTGAAATCGGACGAAAATATATATGGGAGCTATATCTAAATCTGAATCGATTTCCTCGAAACTTAGCAATCATCATCCTAGACCTAATTCAGTAGGCTGTACCATATTTCGTGCAAATCGATGGATATATAGGGACTTTGGTACACCATTTACCTGAAATCGGACGAAAATATATATGGGAGCTATATCTAAATCTGAATCGATTTCCACGAAACTTAGCACACATCATTCTAGACCTAATTCAGTACGCTATACCAAATTTCGTGCAAATCCAAAGATACATAGGGACTTTGGTACCCCATTTATCTTAAATCGGAAGAAATTATATATGGGAGCTACATCATCATTCCACACCTAATTCAGTAGGGTATACCAAATTTCGTGCAAATCGAAAGATATATAGGGACTTTGGTACCCCATTTACCTTAAATCGGACGAAATTATAAATCTGAACCGATTTTCACGAAACTTAGCACACATCATTCTAAACCTTATGCAGTAGGCTACACCAAATTTCGTGCAAATCGAAAGATATATAGGGACTTTGGTACACCATTTGCCTTAAATCGGGCGAAACTATATATGGGAGCTATATCTACATCTGAACCGATTTTCACGAAACTTAGCACACATCATTCTAGACCTAATTCAGTAGGCTATACCAAATTTCGTGCAAATCGAAAGATATATAGGGACTTTGGTACCCCATTTACCTTAAATCGGACGAAAATATATATGGGAGCTATATCTAAATATGAACCGATTTTCACGAAACTTAGCACACGTCATTCTAGACATAATTTAATACGCTATGCCAAAATTCGTGTAAATCAAATGATTTTCAGGGACTTTGGTGCACCATTTACCTAAAATCGGGCGAATCTATATATGGGAGCTATATCTAAATCTGATCCGATTTTCACGAAACTTGGCACATATCATTCTAGACCTAATTCAGTAGGTTGTACTAAATTTCGTGCAAATCGAAAGATATTTAGGGACTTTGGTACCCCATTTACCTTAAATCGGACGAAAATATATATGGGAGCTATATCTAAATCTGGACCGTTTTTTCCCAATTTAAATAGGGTTCGTCCTTGGGTCAAACAAATGAGCTGTGCCAAATTTCATCCAATTCGGATCATAAGTGCGACCTGTACTTTGCTCACAAAAATACATGGACAGACAGACGGACGGACGGACATGCATAAATCGACTCAGAAAGTGATTCTATGCATATTCTCAAAAGGAACCATGGGTCTATCTCGATTATTTTTGCCTGTTCCAAACATATGCACAAATACATAATACCCTGTACCACAGTGTGGTGAAGGGTATAAAAACAGAATATGGGTATTTGTCCGAAGCTGTTTTTCTTGTACGCCTTCAAGAAGGGGAATAACAACAGTGTGTTTCTTTGGATTTTCCGAACTCATGATTCGTCGGAATTTACTGATAACTTATCAACTTCAATGTTTAAACATAAATATGCATTTGTATCCCGATGCATTTGCAGTTATGTGTTCTCGATAACTAAATTCTAACATATTTATCTCCATTCTCGGATTTTAATATTTTTAATTATATATTTATTTGAAATACTCACCGTACTTTGAAATACTTTTCCATATCACAAATATTGTACATATTATTTTAAGAGCTATATTACTTTTGACCATTTTCATTAATAAAAATATGTATTATTATTTTTTGATAATAGTATAATTCAATTATTGTCACAGGCTTAAAAACCGGTTGGCCGTCGTTATTTGCTTTTTATTTTCTTTATTTAGTTTTTTCTTTTGCTAAATTGCGACCACAACGAAGGAACATTCGCACTTAGCACATCTTCAGCATAATCGGATTTTCTAAATTTAAACTACATTCTTCATGAGCATATACTAGCAACCTGAAGAAAACTTGCTGTTTCAAAGTATATACATATATACATTTCGGACCAAACAAAAGCAGGATTTATATAAACATATTATATTTGGTTAGTTCTGTAAGCAGTTCGTAGGGTCGGCGTTGCACATTATGTTCAGCAAGCTGCACATAAGAAATAAATAAATCACTTAATTTTTGATTTGTTGTCTTTAATTAGTTTTTTATTTTTTAATTAACAAAAATGTGTTCCTAAGTACTTATCAGCAAATATTATTGTTGCTAAAACAGACTCTCGTCATTATTAATTTCCTTGAGGAATATATTATACAAATCCGGACGCATAAATTTCGCATTTGTTGCCGCTACATAACCTGTGCGCGAACACTCATTTTCTGTTCTAGGTGTAAAACTTATAATGCCCAGTAAATAGTATAGATCCTCTGATTTTGGAAAATCAACTTTAAGTTTCTGAGCAAATGCACCGCCGCTATCACCGCGACAAATTCGTTCACTGTTATCTTTGTATAAACAGAATTTATCTTCGGACAATGTTTCGCCTATAGATTTGTGCTGTATGCATTCATAGTATCCTTGGGTGGTCATAGATACTCGTTCCATATTATTATTTAGTTCATTGTAACCAGTTACAGTTCCGGTAATGTTCGATTGTACAATATCACTGATAAGTCTTGTGAAATGTTTAAAACATATCGCTGATATATGCTCATTATAAACAAATGGGGAGTCCAATTTGATGACAGCAATATCAGCAAAATTATTAGTTCTTATGCCTTCAAAACTGTAAAATAAAAAAAAACAGTAAGAAAAGTAGTAAAGTCGGACGGAGCCGACTATATGATACCCTTCACCACTATGGGTATATTCAACAAATGCATACTAACAGAATGGCCATAAACATGAAATTGGATGAACTAAAATATGTGACCTTTATCTAAATGTAAACCGATTATATCAATCCATAAACATGTCATTCGTTTGTTACAATGGGTCAAAATTATGTAAATCGATTTAAACAAATATCAAAATGCTCAATTTTGTACGTTGTGCAAAATTTCATGTCAATATTCCAAACATGAGGAGTTTGGTGCACCTTTTATTTAAATTGGATAAAAAAAGCTATATCCAAATATGAACCGATTTCAAGGAAACTTGTCGCAGGTTAGGTTATACTAATTTCAGCAGGTTTTGTTCCTAATGGCCATATTTTGGGTCCTACTTGAAATCGGGCAAACATATATGATAGCTATATCTAAATCTGAACCGATTTTCAAGAAATTTTACACACATCATTCTAGACTTAAGTCAGTACACTATGCAAAATTTCATGGAAATCGACGGATATGTAGGGACTTTGGTGGACCATTTACCTTAAATCGGTCGAAAATATATATGGGATCTATATCCAAATCTGAACCGATTTTCAAGAAATTTCACACACATCATTCTAGACTCAATTGAGTACACCGTGCCAAATTTCGTGCAATTCGGAAGATATTTAGGGACTTTGGCATACCATTTACCTAAAATCGAGCGAAGCTATATATGTGAGCTTTATAAAAATCTGAACCAATTTGTACGGAACTTAGCACACGTCATTCTAGACTTAATTCAGTACGCTATGCCAAAATTCGTGCAAATTGAATGTTTTTCAGGGTCCTTGGTGCACCATTTACCTAAAATCGGGCGAAACTATATGGGAGTTATATCTAAATCTGAACCGATTTTTAAGAAATTTTGCACACATCATTCTAGACTCAATCCAGTACGTTGTGTCAAATTTTTTAGGTAAATGGTATGTCTCTCATACAATTAAATGTTGTTTCTTGAAACCGATATGATGTAACCATAGAGTTCGTCTTTTTGCAAAAAATAAAACATGACTAATTAGCTTACTCTGCAGACGCATTAATCATTTCGGCCCCTCTGATTAGAACTTGATTTTCCTGAATATCATCAAATACTCGTTGTTGTTTGCCAGCAACGAATCTAAAATTATTAGAATGTTCCAATCGCATCAATTCGTTATTCCAAAAACAGTGAGCAGCTACAAGAAAACGACAAAAAAAGACATAAAACGATTTGAAAGAAATTTGCATTTAACACTCGTACCTGATATAACAATTCGTGGGGTGACTATTGAACCCCCACAAATAAACTCCCATTTATTGTTAACCAACTTATATATGGAAACATGCCATGGAACTTGATTAGGATCATTGGAAGTCACACCCTTGGTTATGGAAGCCATTGGCACCGATGGATGACCACAGTACTGTTCACAAGGTTCACGTTTCTGATCGAATGTACCATCTGTCAGACATCTCAAAATTTGTCGTTTGCCAATCATTTGTTGTCGCTTATAACCAGGAGCACAAATCGAGTGAATTATACTGCCGACTGCTATACCATATCTATGAAGTGATCGCTTCACGAAATTGCCACTGGCTGAATACACATTGTATATCGTTGAGAGTCCCTCCAACAGTTGGGGATTACAAACCACTGTATTATATCAAGAATAGTATATGTTTAAAACATAAATTATTGAAAAAACGATAATCCATAAAATATTTACAATTATACGATTTTATGTTTATACGGTAGACCACGGATATAATAACATCTTATATAAGAAAAACACGGACATAAGAAAATGTTTCACACATATAAGAAAAAAGTGTATTATGTAAAATACATTCATATACGAAAATCCCGCTTATAAGAAAAAATTTTTCGATGTTCTTATATCCGTAATCTAATGAAAATTTTTCCAAATATATCTGACAAAGTTTTTTCATCTAACATACCTTGACATTTAGGAATTGGTCCATTAAATTCTCCACCCTCACATTTACGTCTTCCCAAATCTAACTTCTTATTATTTTTAAAACATTCAAAGTAAACGACTTCCAATTGTTCAACAAAATCTCCCGGTTTCAATGTCGAATTTCCAGTTAAGTGCCTTAGTGCAATGACACTTTGTAGGTCGAATGGTATACGGCATCGTTGACCGCCATTTCCTATTGCTGTGCTATCGGGAAAAACTATAGTTTTGACACCTACTGAGATTTCCGGTTTCCTCGGAGTACCACATAGCTCCCAGGCTTCATCTGAACCATCAACACATTCACGAATTTTATTACATTTTGCATAATCGGCTACGCAGCCACCATAACCACATTGAAAGCCACTACTACAATCGAAACCGGCACATACTTCCACAGTTTCATCTGAACCGTCCCTACAGTTCTTGACGCCATTGCACATATCGTTACGTCCAATACATTCCTTACTCGTTAAACATTGCATTTGATTTGATCTACCAAAGGTAAGTAACTAAATATTTGATATAATTTTTTATTACAGTTTTTAATTCACTTACCTGCAGTTGCCACGATGATGCTCGGGATTTTCATTCATACATGCATATTCATCAGATTTATCGGCACAATCGGTATTATTGTCGCAACGACCAACACCGGCAATACAAGCTCCGTAGCTACAAACAAACCCAAACGGAAGACAGTCAGAGGCCATGTGTATACAATTCTCCGCAATTTCATCAGAATGGTCCGAACAATCTACGGAACCATCACACCGCTTGTTAATCGGTATACAATCGCCATTATCACATGTCCACAGTCTTTCACCACAATCAGCCAATGCTGATGATATGTGCATTGTAAAAACAAAAATATATGGATACAATTTTTCGTACTTGATATAAAAACGAAGGACTGTATTCTCATAGGAAATATATGTGGTATTTTTTACTAACTCCTTAATAAAATCACAATATAAAGATCACGTCCTATTCTGTTGTATTTTTAAGTCTTTGTTGATCCGGCAAAATTTATTCATTGAAGTCCATGTTTTGACATAATATTCGCAATTTTAAAATGGAGCGCAAGTTGTCTCAGTGGAATTTTTCGGCACTACCCTATTTTCTTTATCTAACATCTACATATATATATATATATATATATATATACATAAGAATTGTTCGAATATATCTTCTGTGTAGAGACTGTCTTAGTTGTATTATCCTAACCTTTCTTTACCCAGATAACGTTACACACATTCATACATAAATTGGTTGGGGGAAGACCACTTGTCAGACAACTATATTCGGATTATTGTATGCTCTCTGACGCCAGCATTTTTGTTTACGAATCACAAGCAAATAAATCAATCAAACTCGTGCTTAGTATCTCTCTATCTCATACTCTTTATTTTCTTATACTTTTCATCTAAACAAGTCTGAGGCCTTAATTTGTCGGTCATACAGTCTCTCTCTCGCTCTCTGTCATACTCTATATTTTCTTATACTCTTCATTAATATAAGTCAGATACCTTAGTTTGACGGTTTGCAGAGACATTCTTTAATTCGACTTCGGATATATGCTCTTTTGCGATTTTTGACTCACCATATGCTGCCAAAACACTTACAAATGTTTATATTGATAATTAAAAACATGGACTTTCCGAGATAATATTCGGTGGAATTTATTAATATGAATTAAAGTATTACTTAATAAATACACAGTTCTATCTAAATGCTATCGTAAGCTAAATTTAAAATATGAACATTTTCATTTTGAGATTTGTATTATATTTTAATATTTATATTTTTCGTTTATAGTTCAAATACTCACCGTACTGTATTCGTCGTATCAGGAATATTGCACATATTATTTTTGAAATTTTCATAGCTTTATACATTTTCATTGATAAAAATATATGTCATTATTTTTTTATTATTGAGTTGCAATTTTTGCGACCATTCGCTGCTAGTTCTATTTTTTTACAAATGTACAACCACTTGTAAAAGATTATTGTGATCTTCGACCGCTACCAACCGCTTGTTTGAGAAATCCATTAAACACTGACTAATGAAAAGGAATCATCTCAATTGAGAATAAACCGAATTGATATGAGCAAAACCATTAATGATTCAGTGTAGATACGAATATGTCGCATAAACAATGCTGAAACAATTGAATGGGGACTTTTAAAATTGTGTGGTTATACGTGAACTTCAGTACTATTAAGTGACAATTTTTGGAGTTGGCAATCTCGTTCCTGAAATCGTACGACGGGCAAAATTTACTAGGACATTGATTTGGTTCAATCGTTCATTTGTATATTTCCTATAATTCGGATAATTAACGGGATGATCTAGATGAACGATTGGATCTAATGGGACTAAGAGCACGAATGCAATGAAAAACCAGTAAGGAAAGTAGTAAAGTCGGACTGGGCCGACTATATGATACCACTTGGATATATTGTACATATGTATCCTTACAATTGTATGTAAATGTTCCCTCGAAGGAACATACTCATGTTTTTCTGCAACCTATGATAAATTTAATTTAATTCGGGCAGATTTAGACAAATTTATGGAACATGATTTATAGCAAAGTTGATACATGCTATTCGGTACGCCGCACTGTTAAAAATTTATTCTCAATCAGACACCCGTTCGAAATTCATATGGAAGCTATGGCTGGATCTGCAGCAAATTCAACAAAACCCAAAAACGTCATTAAAGTCTCAATTTGATACGTTGCGCAAAATTTCGTGTTAATCGGACAAACACTAGGAGTTTGGTGCACCATTTACCTTAATACGGACGAAAATATATATGGGAGCTATATCTAAATCTGAACCGAGTGAATGAGCTATGCCAAATTTCCTCCAATTCGAATAATAAATGCGACTTTGCACAAAGACAAAATACCCTGTACCACAGTGTGGTGAAGGGTATAATAATGAGATAGAAGCTTAAAAATCAAAGGCTTACATACAATAAAACGAACATAGTGACACTCAAAATTTCAATTCAAGCGACTCGATTGCTTGCAATGCGAAAAAATACTCAAATCATTTGTAAGAATAAAACAGTAAAGAAAGTAGTAAAGTCGGGCGGGGCCGACTATATGATACCCTTCACCACTTTGGGTATATTCAACAGATGAATGCTAACAGACGTCGAATTCTGCAACCTATACTAAATTTTTCATTTGTTCCGATATAGGGTTGCTTCTTACAATGGGACAAAATGACCAAAACTCGGGAGAAAATATATATAGAAGCTCTATCAAAATCTGAACCGATTTCAAAACTTTCCAAATTTCAAAACTTTAGTACGTTGTGCAAAATTTGTGTCAATTTTGTGTAAAATTGGACGAAAATATATATGTAGAAGCTATATAGAAATCTGAACCGATTTCAATGAGAATGGCAGAGATTATCTTATATTAACTTGTATATTGTACATAAATCTCATTTCATTTAAATCTCCAGACTCATTTCAGTACACTATGCCAAATTTTGTGCAAATCGAAATATGTATAGGGACTTCGGTACACTATTTACATTAAATCGGACGAAAATTTATATAGGAGCTATATTTAAATCCAAACCGATTTTCACGAAACTTAACGTGTACTATTCTAGACTTAATTAAGTACGATATGCACTATTTTGGTGCAAATCGAAAACTTGGCAGACATCATTCTAGGCTCAATTCAGTACGTTATGCTAAATTTCGCGCAAATCGAAAGATATATATGGACTTTGGGGCACCATGTACATGAAATCGGACGAAACTATATATGGGAGCTATATCTAAATATGAACCGATTTTCTCGAAACTTGGCAGACATCACTCTAGGCTTAATTTAATACGTTATGCCAAATTTCGTGCAAATCGAAAGATATATAGGGACTTTGGGGCACCATTTACATGAAATCGGACGAAACTATATATGGGAGCTATATCTAAATCTGAACCGATTTTCTCGAAACTTGGCAGATATCACTCTAGGCTTAATTTAATATGTTATGCCAAATTTCGTGCAAATCGAAAGATATATAAGGACTTTGGGGCACCATTTACATGAAATCGGACGAAACTATATACGGGAGCTATATCTAAATCTGGACCGATTTTCACGAAACTTGGCAGACATCATTCTAGACCTAAATGATTAGGCTGTACCAAATTTCGTGCAAATCGAGAGATATATAGGGACCGTTTACATTAAATCGGTTAAATATATATATATATATATGGGAGCTATATCTAAATCGGAACCGATTTTTTCCCAATTTCAATAGGGTTCGTCCTTGGGCCGAATAAGTGACCTATGCCAAATTTCATCCAATTCGGATAATAAATGCGACCTGTACTTTGTTTACAATTTAACATGGACAGACAGACGGACGGACATGCATAAATCGACTTAAAACGTGATTCTATGCATATTCTCAAAAGGAACCATGTGTCTATCTCGTTTCCTTTTGCAAGACAAAGACATAATTCCCTGTACCACAGTGTGGTGAAGGGTATAAAAATTAAATATTGTTGTGTAGACTGTACACCTTGCAGATTATAGAAATACCTGTCAAATTAATCGTGGAGTTCTATAAACTTTTTATGTCCTCCACAACGTGGTGTGCATTTGAAATTTCTTAAATCGGCCGGGACCGTTACATGGGGACTATGTTATTGCATTATGTCGTAGTAATTTGTTCGTGCTCTGAACTAATAATCTTTCAATTTACAAACACCCGGGTTGTGAAAGAGTAGGTTAAAAAATAAATTTGTATTGTATTGAATAAATGCTGAAAATAAGATTTTAATTTAATTTTAAATAAAATTAATGAAATCTATTTTGAAATTCGGAGAAGTATAGTGTTGAATGGACGACGAACTGTACAATCTATCAGACATCGACATAGACGTATCGAGCTGCAGCCACTACAGTGGCTGTGAGAATAATGAGTATGCCCTAGCTCAAAAGGCATATTAAAGCGAGCAAAGTGGTGGTTCACGCAAAATTCGATGGAAAGATCAAGTGGAAGATAACATATCGAAACATGGTCATTCAAATTGGAAAAATTTTTAAGCTCAACGTACGGTATTAGGGTATCCCTAAGTTTCGATATTTTGGTGTTATTGAGCTCGCTATTCAAGCGAATTCACTGAAGTTTTGTACAATGGGTTCTTATTGGTGCACAATTACTAAACATCGGACGAGAATATATATGGGAGCTATGCCTAAATCTAAACCGATTTCAATAAAACTTGACAAACGTTAGGCTGTCCAAACTTCAGTAGGTTGTAAAAAAGTTCGTGCCAATCGACCAAAATTTGGCTCTTTGGTGCACAATTTACTAAAAATCGGAAGAAAATATATATGGGACCTATATCTAAATCTGAACCGATTTCAAAAAAAAAAAACTTGGCACACCGTTAATTCTAACTTCTGTACGTTGTGCAAAATGTTATGCCAATCGGCTTGATGCACCATTTGCTAAAAGCGTCCGAATCTATATATGGGAGCTATAACTAAATCCGAACCGATGGGGTTCGTCCTTGGGACAAATAAATAATCTGTGTCAAATTTCATCTCATTCGGATAATAAATGCGACCTGATCTTTGTTTACAACACAAGACAGACACACGGACATGCAAAAATCGACTTAGAAAGTGATTCTATGCATATTCCCAAAATGAACCATGGGTCTATCACGTTTTCTTTGCTGTTACAAACATAGCCTGTACCACAGTGTGGTAAGGGGTGTAAAAATGGACCAACCAATTTTATAATCAGGTCCATAGTTCCCATTCATGAGAAGCATTGTTATACACCCTGTTAAAAATACAAAG